TCAAACAAGCAATTAAATCAAACAAGCAATTAAATCAAACAAGCAATCAAATATAAGCAAGCAATTAAATGCAAATAAGCAATTAAATAAAAGCGAAATATATATCTTTGTTTCTCTGTGTGGTATGTAATGCACATTGTTTATAATTAATATAAATTGAAAAACAAAGTCGGTCGTTGACCATTATTTTTTACATTAAAAAATTATGAATAATACAGGTCGAAAAAAAAAGTCGGTCGTTGACCATTATTTTTTACATTAAAAAAATATACGAAGATAATTAGATGCGATAGCTTATAGTTAGACGATCTATCTCTTTGATTTCATATGTAACTATCGTATTTTATGATTATAAACGTTCTCAAAAACGATTATTCTCTCTACTGAAAAATAAATTGTGATAATGATCTATCTCTACTTTTGAAAAGCATGTTAACAGACTCTAACATGGTTCATGGTAATATCATGAATCTTTTCAAGATTAATTAGTTAAAGCGTTTATCAGACCACGGGTTTATGAAATTTCAATGAGCATATGACGGCTATATAAATATTCTGTATTCTAAGTATTCATAAGAGTATGTTCTTTACTGGACGATAATAGATTACTGTATGTTTTCAAGATAAAAATTTTTTTGTTTATCAGCTTGAGATTTTTTGTTCTACACTCTAAAAAGAATCCGTTTCCAAGAAAATCAAAACGAGCTCGGAAACCTTCCCGAAAACCCAAAAAGGTTGGCGAAAAGGTTTCCAATTTTTTTTATAGGTTTCTAAGAATACCTTTCGGGTTTCCGAACATTCAGAAACCGATGAGTTTTATAGAATACTAAATTCGATGGTCTGAAAGTATTCTGGAATACCTTTTTTTCGTATCGAAAACCCTATAACCATCTTTCGAAACCACTTAGGTATACTAAAAAATCCATGTTGCAAAATAAGTTGATTTGGAACCTGAAGCATTATCCGAAAATACCTTTTTTGGTTTTCGAAATACTCTATCGGAAACTCTTTCGGTTTTCGGACTTTATGTATCTAAGAAAGATTTTGCAGAAAACCTAGATTGGTTTCCAAAGTTAAGGAAATGTTTGCAATGGTTTCCACTATAAGTTAGCCTAGCAAACACTATTTCGGAAAAAACTACTTGATGTTGCAATAGTCTTTTTTACTCTTTATTTTTCAGAACCTTGAGAAATTTTCAGACAACATACAGCGTTGATAAATTTTGCATAAAATACGTTATTATTAGTAAATCATCTTGTATATATATAAGATAATAAATGTACATATTTGTTTTCATTCCGAAGTTTTTAAAAAATTCGCTGACGGTTCTTTTAAACCTAATAAGTTACGGACATAAGCATAATGTTCTCCTACTTTTCTTTTTTTTTTTGAACTATTCAACCTTGGTAAAGCAATTCGAGGGCTTATTAGTCAGTCAAGCTTATTTTGTTTTTATCCGCTGATGTATTCAATCACTATATATAGAATGATTCGTTTGTTGAAATTTTATTCAAATGAAAGCTTATAAATTAAGTCTTAGTATTATTTACTCAGGTGCATCTTTCTTAAATAATAAAAATAATATATGTCAGCCTATTGACTCCAATTTTTATCTTCTCTTTGACAATAACTTTTCTTTTAGATTTTCAAAATATAAATGTCTATCGAATAATTAAACCCCTTTTTTTCTTCTCACTAAATATCTCTTATTTTAACTTTTCTTTCGTTAGTTTCTAGAAGTCAGTTACTCCTCAACCATCGAGAGTAGTTGAAGACAAGGATATAAAAGTTTATCTTCGTTGGACATATGTTTGTTCATATTTGTCTAGTGAACATTCTCTTAGTATAATTGTCAGTCTATATTGTATTATGAATCTCAAATTTCGTCCACATCGTATAGCTATAAATTTTTTATGTTTATTTCTCAAATAAGAAACAACATCAGTCAAGTTGTATCCGAGCATCTCGTAAAGAATAAAATATTAAACTTCAAGATAAATCCTCATCACCACCAGTTCATCGTCCTGAAGAAATACCAAATATGTTTCAAATATTTCAAGCAGAAGCAATGTCAACTGATCCACAAATCAGTTATTAAAGAAAGGCAGATCAGCTCATTGATGAACAGGCATTATCTAGTGAAAATACTCCACCAACGAAAACACCAAGTCGATCAATTCATCGCAAATCACAATTAAAATAATGAAAACTAAAAGTAAAATGAATATAACATCTTGAGGGTGTGGGTGTGGGTGTGAGTATCTCCTCTTTACTTCACCCACACCCTCAACTTGTTCAATATATATGTTGGAACGTTTTGAAAAATAAAGCAGACGTTTTAGTTTCGATCAGTTAAATCGATTCTCGCGCTAATAACGATGTATTTACGTGTTTCAGTCGATGATAATCATTTTGAACATGTGTTGTAAACGATATTATTTAAAATAAAACTTTAAAGAACATACTAACATATTATTAAAAAACTCAATTAAATTCATTGAGTTATATAAGATATATCTGAAATAACTTTTCTGGGAGACTTTTGAGTCACTCCGTATATATAATTTATTTACATAATAAAATCAGAACAAAATGGTATATATTTACACATGCTACAATATATCACGGTCTAAATATTCGTTTAGGATTGATCGTAGCAATGCGTTGCGATCGTTGAAATAAAAGTAAACCGTTCCATTGTAGTTTTTTGCGCATTTCAGAAAGAGTACTAAGACAGACAAATGGAAATAAAAGAGTAACGAAATAACATAGATAATTAGCGTAAACTTGTGCATCTGCGCCAAAGTGAGGAGGTAGACCGCAGATATGACCAAAAGTAACAAGATTGAGTGGAACATTCGCCGCTAAATATAAAATACAAATAGAAAATAATTGAATTGTCATTTTACGTTGTCTACGCCATCGATTAGCATGATTAAGACGTCGTTTTTGAATATAAACACGAGCCAGTACAATTATACTAAAAATAGTAATTATTGTAGTTGGTATAATACTATTTATAACTGTATCCCATATACCAAGTAAAGGTATATCTAAATAACATGGAAACTCACCACAGACAGGTAAGTTATAAGCATATGTCTTTGAACATGGTGGAAATATTATTACAACTGTATAAAATATAAAGATATATAGGATCAAAATGAAAAGAGGCATCGTGTGATGAAGAAAACGCTTCTTTGCAGTCGAAAATAATCGATCATGAAATATCAGTAAATAACGATGAACAGAACCCCATTCCATAATTATGACGCATCCATTATATATTCCTGTATCTACAAACCACCAAACAGTACATAAAGTAGGTGTAGATGGCCAAACAATACCTAATTGTAAGAAACTAAGATGCAAAGGTATATCGATTAATTCTATAATTAATCCAAAGATGAGTAGACAGATAATAATATGATTACTCAATTGAGATCGAAATTTTTTATTGACGAAAACTTGAAAAAGTAAAACACATGAACAATAAATGGATGGAATAACTAATATGAGAAACAACCAAAAACGAACTTGACGAGGTAGAGAAATTTCTTCTTTTGAAAATAAGCCAGTTAGACTACCGTTGGCTATCATTTTCTACAATAAATCATACATAATCATCTTAGTTGTTATTAAAATGAAACAAGTTTTTATAATAAGAAGTATAAAAGAAAGGAATAATGCATTCTAAAATAACATACGATTAAACTTCAAATATTAATTACGTTCGTAACAAGGATAATAATGCATGTAATAATCATAAGAACACCTTTTTCACGACTACACCATGGACGACGAAGACGACTAGCTAATAAATATCGATCAAAACATATAAATATACGAAGCCAAGCTGTTGATTGTCCAGCAACATAATTTAAAAATCCAAATATTTTACATGTTGCTATTGAATATGTTAAAAGTATAAATCCATGTTTACTTGAAAGATAATGATCAAGATTCCATCCATATAACATAAATATATCAAATATAGCTATTGCACGCATATAATGTATTATGGGTTGTTTTTTTTGTATTTCGAAATGTTGAACGATAAAAAATAATTAATGTTAAAAGATTCAATAAAGTACCAAGAATAAGTAGTAACTAAATGTTCAGTTGATTTCACATTTGTTCTCGTATTGTTTGACATACTGTACAGTGTTTTCGATTGAAGCTAATTAGAAAAATGATATGCTTTTAGAACACTATCTATTATATATGCTGTATTTATGAAAAATATTTAATATCATATATTTTAAACAAAATAATCTAATGTCTGCATATCTTAATTCTGTATAAAAACTGAATCTATCTCGTATCACAGGTGTTGACAAAACAGAAAGAATTAAATGGATTGAACTAACTTGAATTTGATATTACACCGTGTGACTAGATTTATATATATACTATACAATAGTTTCTTTTTCATACGTATTAAAATATTTTAACGATATAGTGCAACTACATCAAAAAGGGATGTAGTCACATATTTTTAATAATCTTTTGAAAATGAAGTTCGTACAACTCATTTTTAGTTTTAATATTCATTTCTATACTCATCTAAGTACTTCATATATCTTATCTATCTATTACGAAGAGTTAAAACGAAATAATGATATATGTATAGAAAGTTGGATATAGAGTCTCTTCTCTTTCCTAAACGATAGTACACTGAAGATGAAGATAGGCACAGATCAGAAATTGAGATACAAGTCTGTTAGCTCCCTATTTACATGTTAATGTAACATCAATAATATGAAAATAATTTTTTTTTCTTTTTTTTCCATCTCACTAAATGTTAAATAATTAATGCACATATAAAGGTTCTATTTTCATTTCAAAGATTAACGAGAATTAGCATACAAAAATAATTTCTTCAATTTCTATTACTTTTTAAAAAACGAGATCAAAACGTGTGGAACTGTGCAAGCAAGACTCAAATATTTAACTCTGAAATAATATATACATTCTAATCGAACATCAACTGAAATTTTCTATACACTTCTATGGAATCATCTAGCAAGCAAACGAAATAGATCTTAGCAAAATTTTATTATTATGATACTATTTAATGAATGATATAATATAGAACTAATAACTCATATAGAGAAAAATTTTCTAGAAGTAATTGAAGTATCGTCATCTTTAATCTTGATAAGCCCTAAGTATTTCGGCAACATCATCTTTCTAATTGAAGAATAACTCCTATTCTTTAAAATTATTTTAATAAATGCATAATAAATATCTTCATTTATGATATAGAAACTTTATATATTGAATCTCGACAAAAATCTAGATCAACATTGAATGAAAAATAATAGGCTTTTGTTTAATAATATATCAATCAGCAGATATATACACAATTGAGAAACTATTATCTGTTAGAATAAATTCTTTCAAGAATAAAAATAGTTTCAATAATTATTAATAAGATAAGTATGATAATATAAAAATTTTAAATATATGTCTGATGTCATTTAGATAGATTTTTTTGACCTCCTACTTAAAGTAAACATTACACTACATTTACTGTGATGACTTTTTTAAAGACACATATCAACAAGATACAATAAATAAAAAGAATTTTTTATTTGAATAATTTGTATATGGTTTTTTTATACTAAGTTAATTATCATGTAAGCTTTTCTATAATAAAAATATTTGTTCTATTTAGTTAAAAAAATCTTGGTCAGTACTTCTTTTTTTCATTATGAAAACATAAATACGTATGATTTATGTTTGAATCTTTGAAAATATTCAGAATGAAATATATTTATTTCATCTTTATTATTATAATTATGATTATATTAAATCAGTGAATATCAATAATTTATTTTTTACATATAAATATCTACTCAGATTAATTATGATATGGAATAATTTGCATTGAAACTTTCATTCTTTAAAATTCATCAAAATAATGCATTATTTCTGCTGTTTTTTACTTTTGTTATATTTCACTAATAACGAATACATGTGAATCTACTAATCATATATATAAGGGTAATGTTTGTTACTGTTGTTCTTTGTACAATTGGATTTAGACGTAGATCTACACATACATCGTCAAGATGTTAACGATCATTGATTGATGCTTTAATACTTTTATGTTAATTCTAAAATTTAAATAATTATAATCACTTTTATAATTTCACAAATCATTAACGTTAATGCTGATTGTTAGTTGGAGAAAAAAAAGAAATGAAATGTTTTTATTTATCCTACAGATAGTTAATAAAATCGAAATTCATATGTCTTATAGATGTGGGTGTGGGTATCCTTTTCATTCTACACCCACACCCACATCCTCATGTTCACCTTATATTAAATCTATTCGTGGAATATTTTCTAATAATTGTACATCTAAATGTATTAATTATAATTAAAACATTATATTTTATATGAAATATTGAATAGATGACATTAATAATGTTTGATTAATTATTTTCTTAATATCGTTTGTGAACCTTTTGAGTTCTGGCGAGGTATAAATATGCCTGAGTGTAGTTATTAAACAAAAATGCTTCTAGGATATTTTTTAATTATCTAGAAAATCTTTTCACTGCATTAAATCCTATAAGAAGCTTTTCTTTCACTTTTTGATAACAGAAGCTCATAATTGATTGGTAATTAACAAAATGTAAAATAATATTTTGTTTCATCAACCTCAGTTTCATCTTAAAAAAATCAGAATTGTTTTGGTAGATATATATGATATGTGTCACGACTGCAATATATCTTTATGTATTACTGAGTATTTTAGACATTATTATATGAAGATAAATTACTAATGCTTTTTTTTCATACTGAAATGTTATTTTTTTAGAAGAAAAATGAATCATTTCTCCTAAAAATATTGATTCTTGTGCTGAAAAAGAAATAGTTGAAACTCAAAGGTTTAAAAGTTATATATTTTGAGCGTCACTTAGTACTTTTTTAAATGATTTCTATGACATGTTTTGAATTTGATAAACAATTTATGAATTATTTGTTTTCACTAAATTTATTGTTTTTTTGAAATATTTACATATGACATTAAATCTTTTATTCATATGTCTAAGAAAGAATCCTAGTATTCCAGGCATATTCTAGTATGGGTACATTTTAGATAATCGCTTGAAGAATACTTTCAAAATGATGCGCTTAAAATGCTCATTCTATTTTTATCTGTGTCATGCAACTTTTATTGCTGAAAGTTAATCCATTCTGTAGAGTTTTTTTAATCAAAGAAAAATATTAATGTTGTTGTCATCTGCTTACATATTTTCTTATATTAAATAAAAATTAATTATCTTATTTAAGCAAAATCTGTCACGGTCACTCTTTGACATTAAAGACTTCCATCAATATACAATTAAAATAGATGTACTATTTGTTTGTGTCAAACATTTTTTAAAAGAAGATTATATTTTCCATTTTGATAATGCTAATAAAGAATTATCTATAATGTAAAGATTTTTATAAATTTCATTTGCTTCAACAATGAATAACGAGACAACTCTCACAACAGATTTTATATTACCTTTATTTACAGTCATTCATGGTTCAATAGCTAGCATAATATCAGCTATTATCTTATTTATTATTATTTACCATCAACATAATAATCGAATAAAACAAGAAGAAAGAATTACCTTGATTTTATGTGTTAATATTTATCTTTGTATTTTTCTTTGTTCAACTATGTT